AGGAATGCACAATTTCAGTTTTGTTTCAGGCTCTCACTCCAGAATGTTACCAGAACTGAAAAAGATGTTCTTTTCTGTATCTCCAGCAATAAAAAGAAATGATTTATTATGTGTTAATTGGTTGCTTTTCTTTGTAATCGTGTGTTGTTAAGGATAAACAGGTATTTCGGTGGCAAGTCATGCCCTCTGGAAGTTTACATTATGATTGGAAAGAAGGACAGCAGTCTGACAGCTTTTTCCTGTTTTCCAAAATCCTTTCCAGAGGACCTGGAGAGAGTCATGCCCACAAACATTAACAGACTGTTTTGGTAACAGGATTCTTCCTACATCCTGCCCCTGGCATATTATGTTTGCGATATATATTAAGCCTCTTTATCTCTGTTAAAGTACTTTGTTTTCTGATCTCAGCAACCTTTCCTTGGTTCCAATCACCAATCACCGAGCTAAAAACTGTAAAACCTACCTATAACCTACAAGCCCTGGCTTCCACATGTCTACACCTTTTTGGGCCAGACCAATGAGAAACTCTTAGCTAAATTCCTAACTCTGTCTCTTGATCTCAAAATCAAATAAAAGGAACCTGTATACCTGATCACCCCGAGAATGGCATGTTTTGCCTCCTGTCCAAGTGTAGGTCTTTCATATTCTGCCTAAAAATAAACCACACTAATTATTATTTTTTACAGAGTTGGTTATTTCTGTTGCATGAAGAGGGCCAAGCTGGGAACCAGCAGTTAGCGTAATGGCTATGTCGCTGGACTCCCACGTAGTCGACCACGGTTGGTGTCCCGGACCCGGTGGCTTAAAACTCAACGCCGGGCGCGTGTGCGTTTGTGCCCAAGATCCCGAGAGGAGAATGGAGGAGAAGGGATCGCCGCGTGACCATCCCCCCTGGGGGGTCTCCCTTTCTATCTCTCGTTCTCTCTGGCAAGTGCATGTGCCCTATCGCAAAAGTCTCTCAAAAAAAAAAAAAAAAAAAAAAAAAAAAAAAGAGGGCCAAACTAAATAAAGACTTTAAAGACAAGGACTATAAAAACTATGAAGTCCACAATCCTGTGGACTTAAAGTAGTGCTAAGGTAGAAATTTTGTATTGATGGACAAGATTCAGTTGGTTTCAAGAAATAGTAGCCTGAGGCTGGATCTCAGGGTTCCTGTAGGGCCCCAGCAGAAGGAATATGCCTAATGGCAGTGACTGGCATGATTAACCTGTGGGAGTTCAAGAAATCTTTTCAGAATCTAATGAAAGCTAGAGACCCATTCCCCAAAATGCAGGTAAACAGAGAAATTGCTTTCCTTGAAACTAAATTAAAAATCTCCAATTAACCAGTTATAATCCAAATTGCTTAGAATGGAGTTCAAGGCCTTTTCTGGGCTGCTTCCTCCTAGTGTAGTTTATCTACCTTAACCACCACTCTGGTAGTTTAATCCCATACACTCAGACCAAACTCTGCAAGTTTGCAACCTGCTTGTTACAACACCAATTTCTAATTTACAGTTTTTTGACAACTGGTTTGAAATACTGCCTTTAACATAAAAATAAGATTCCTAAAAATGTACACGTGAATCTAGTTTACACTTTATTATTGCATTGATTTGGGCTGTTTATTCCTGTTTCAGTACTGTTTAATTACTATAGATTTCTAGCATATTTTGCTATTTGGTAGGGCATATTTCTATAATATTAGTATTTTCCTTGACTTTTTTTGCAATATATTTTTTTCAATGAATTTTTTTAATTTGTTAATCAGGGTCCAACACAGTATTGTGATTTTTGTTTGGTAATATATTAAATTTAAAAGTTATTAGCTAGATTTAGCCATTCCACAATGTGTATCATATACTTTAAAACATCATGTTTTACATAGTAAGTATATTGTGTTAATCTTTGACTTTTAAAAAAATGTAGTGCTATTACTGTGGCCTAGTGGGTAAGAAAGCTGGATCTCACATGGCTGACCGTGGCTTGAAAACTGGCTGCTTGAAAGGCACATGAGGGTCATGCTTGTGTGTACATACAGGTGCCAAACATGCCAAAGGGATGGAGAAAGGATTGTGGTGTGACCAGGCCACATTGGTGGGGTGCTTTCTGTCTCTCTCTCTCTCTGTCTAGCATGTCAGCCTCTGGCAATTCTTATAATAACTCACAGTTTGGGGAGCATTAACTCCTTTCAGTATTGCTTTTCTTTTAGAAAAATGGTGTTCCATCTTTTTAGATAATCTTTTTCATCCTCAGTGAGGGTTTACTAGAAAACACCTAAGGTTGATGGACATTTAAATAGCAAAATAAAAATGTTTTATTTAAATCATTGTCATACCTAAATTATATATATATATATATATACACACACATGCATGTATGTAGATATACATGTGTGTGCTTTATCAGTTTACTCTTTTTTTCCTCTCAGGAGAACCACACAGACTGTTGACTGGTGTTGAGTACACTGTTGGCAGGAAAAACTGTGCCATTCTGATTGAGGATGATAACTCAATAAGTCGAAATCACGCTGTGTTAACTGCTGACTTTTCTGTGACCAACCTGGTATGTTATTAATTTTTTTTAACTTACTTGGAGTAAGGGGGTTGGAATCACAGACGATTATCTTGATGCTTACGAGAGAGAATGAAGGAAAATTTTCCATTTCAGGAGGTTGTTTAGAACATTAGCAAAACTGAATACTTATATTTGGCCCATGGTACCAGTGGTATTTGTTTACTTTGAGATTTGAGGTTTCTGTTTCACTATTTTAGTCCTTATTGTAGTGATTTAGAAATGCAAAGAAAGGTAGGACATGTTCACATTTATTTACTTAGTATTTATGGAGTGCTTACTTTACTGTATGTCTGTCACTGTCAGGTATGGAAGTAGAGCTGATCAGACCTTCATGATTCCACTCCTAAAGAGTTTATGTAGCTGTGTGGACATAGGCATTTCCCTGTAGCATAAGTTCTCTGTTTCAGTATGGCAGATGGTGAAACAGATAACTGTTGCTTAGACTCCAATACTCTTGAATGTCTTAGAGTTTTGTGTTATTTATTTTTGTTTTAATCACAACCATGGGTGATAGAGTGATTAAAAATATATGTAAATAGCTGTGCTCAAGATAATGCTGGCGTTAATAAGAAAGAAGAGCTGTTGTTTTGAGTAAAGACTCAAAATAAATATATTCAAATTTGGGTTTGTTCACTGATATAGGCTTTTTCCTCTATCCTTTTTTTTTTTTTTAAATAGAGATTTTTGCTATAGGGCATATGTGCTTGCCAGAGAGACACAGAAATACAAAGTGAGAAATCACCCCTTGAGGGGGATGGCCATACTGTAATCCCTTCTCCTTCGTTCTCCTCTCAGGATTTTGGACATGCACACATACACACCTGGTATGTTGTAAGCTGCCAGGTCAGGGACTTTAACTGTGGTTGACTAGGAGTCCAGTGTTATAACCATTATACCATCTCCTGGTCCCTTTGTTTGTTTTTTTATTTTTATTTTATTTTATTTTATTTTTTTTGCCGTAGGATGTGTGTGCTTGCCAGAAAGAGACAGAGACAGAGAGAGAAAGTGAGAAATCACTTCCCAGGGAGATGGCCATGCCATAGTCCCTTCTCCATTCTCCTCTCGAGATTTTGGGCATGCACACACATGTGCCTGGCATGATTTTCAAGTTGCCAGGTCCAGGACTCATACCAAGGATTCAGCCTGTGGGATCCAGCTTTTGAACCACCATACCACCTGCTGGCCCCTTGTCTATTCTTTTAGGTACAGAAAAACATTACTATTGAAATTCCTACCAAAAAAGTGAAATTGTTACTATAGATTAGAAATTCTTGCATTTTTCTTATTGGACCAGTTTTATTTTTTTTTAAACTTTTGATTGGGATAAAATTAATATAGCAGTAAATTCACCATTTTAATTATTGTAAATTGTACAGTAAGGTGGCGTTCATACATTCAAAATGTGCCATGTGCTACCATCACCATGGACTAGTTTTTGTTGTTGTTGTTTTTCCCATTTGTCAGAGATCCTGTGTGCTTGCTGGATACAGAAAGAGAGAGAGGAGAGGAAGCACACCCTCTGGGGGATGGCCACAGTACAGTCCCTTCTCCTCCATTTGTCCCTTTTTTCGGGATTTTGGGCAACATATGCCCCATGTGTTTCCCAAACCACTGGGTCCAAAGCTTCAACTACATCCACAGCTAATTTAACAACCATGCCACCAGTTCACCCTCCATGGACCAGTTTTTACGGTGTGATTTTGATTAACTTAAAAAAAATTAAGACTGAAACTGCCATGTTATATGTGAAATAGATTGTAGCAAAGCAAAACATTGTCTAATGTGTGAGATTGAAGGGAAAAAAAATCTGAAAATAAAATCTAGGGCCAGTCCTGAGGCCTACTGGTTAAGAATCCCACATAGCCAACTGTGCAATTGTAATTTTGACCCCAGTGGCTCAAAAAACATCCCATGTGTGTGCCCCAAATCATGACAGAATTGAAAAATGGAGGAGAAGGAATTGTGGTATGACCATGCCCCATTGTGGGAGTGCTTTCTCCTTCTCTGTGGCTCTCTTTCACAAGTGCATGTGTCCTCTGCCAATTTAAGGGGAAAAAAAAAATAGAAGAAAATGTACGTTTTAAGAGGGGTAGTCCTAGAATTATAAGGGGAAATATTAATTGCTAGTTGGTTGATCATCATCTGAAGGCAACCAAAATAATAACAGCTGTCTTGTGTTGGGACATTAGGTACATGTGTATTGCTTATTCAAAAAGTTATCAATGTTTTCTTTTAAAAGTTTTATCCCGGGTATTGTATGTATTGAGTGGTAAAAATCTTTAAATTATTTGTTGGTTTTATAGAGTCAGACGTATGAAATCCCTGTATTGACAATAAAAGATAATTCTAAGTATGGTACCTTTGTTAATGAGGAAAAAATACAGAATGGCCTTTCCCAAACGTTGAAGACAGGAGATAGAGTTACGTTTGGAGTGTTTGAAAGTAAATTCAGGTAAGAAGTTTTTAAATTGATGGTAGAATAGACAGCCTTATTTACCACCAAATAAATTCTAAAGGAAAAGTAAATTTATGGATCATGAATTGTAAGCAACATCATTTAGCTCCTATTTAGTGTGATAGCAATCTTTGGGCTACATGTGGTTAATGCGTTTTGTCCCGTTTAGATGGCTCTGAGAGTCTGAGTGAGCCCTGAGAGTCTTGATGGGAACTACATTTGTTTGGTTCTTCATAAGTGAAAGTGTGATGTTAGCTTTGGTGGTGGTGTTTTTTTTGGTTTTTTTTTTTTTTTTTCCCCATTGCGATTCAAGACCTAAGTGATCATTTCATAGGTTAGAATGTTTAGTAATGTGTGAAAATTAAAATTAAGTAACAGCATGTGATGTGAGCATCAAGTTTTAAAATACTGTAAATTGCTGCCCCTGTAACTATGATCATATAACTTTATGTAACTTATTCTCATTTACAGAGTAGAGTATGAGCCTTTGGTTGCATGTTCTTCTTGTTTAGATGCCTCTGGGAAAACTACTTTAAGTCAAGCTGTATTGCAACTTGGAGGACTTACTGTGAACAACTGGACAGAAGAATGTACTCACCTTGTCATGCTCTCAGTTAAAGTTACCATCAAAGTAGGTTGATTGCCTTGTATTAAAATAAATTCTGTGAACTGAAGCTTACTCACCCACTGTGTGTAGACCTTAAATGTCATTTGCTTGAAGCTTGTCCAAACTGTTAATTCTGGATTTACGTATGCCCATCCCATGCCTTTATACACCGTTTAGGCTCAGGTGGCTTTTCAGATAAACTGTTTATTATCTGAGACAAGCCAAAGCACATAAAATTAGATTTCATATTTGGATTTAGCATTTTAAAACATGATTTATATTATCTGTTCATTAAGAAGTTTATTGCAGTACATAGTTGGTGTTTTCAGTCTAAAAGCAGAGTGCCTCGAGATGAATGGCCAGTCTTCGGCATTCACAACTCATGTCTCTTCTATGAAGTTGTTTTCCTCTAGTGTCGGACGCTGCTTCATGACTTTATGCTTTTTTACTTAGTGTTGATTTGACCTAAGGTCCTAATCACAAGGACTTTTAAGTTCCTGTGGTTTGATTTTACCTTAATGTATCTTTACAACCTGGAGATATGTAGATATGTACATACCTTTAGGAGGTACTGACTTTTCATTAAAACAGGATTTATTTTGATATATGCATCTTTATCAGATTTGGTTATATCAAGAGCTAATTGAAGAATGACATGGGGAAGTGATTCATCGTCTTTTAAATAGGTCTCCTATAGATATGTGAGATTGTTTTAGGTTAATATCTGTAGTGAAAAAATAACAAATATTTATATTCATTTAGTAGAGAATAGAGAATCTATTAATATTTGATATAGTTAAATTAGAATATGTATGTTGTCGCCACAGAGGTATCAGAAAAGCTTGCTTTTCAGATTGAACCTCAAGTTAAACTTAGACCTTATTAAGGAATTTTTTCATCTTTACAAGTTTATGAAATTGGTTTCCTAAATTTATAGTACTAACTTATGCCTGCAAAACTATACATAGTACATTCATAAATCAGAATGTTCATTTATTATTGTATGGTATGGGTACATCTTTATGATGACTGGCATATTTATTTATTTATTTTTTAAGAGGTTTTTGCCATAGGGTGCGTGCGCTCACCAGACAGACAGAGAGAGACATAGAGACAGAAAGCGAGAAATCACCCCCCAGGGGGCATGGCCACGCCGCAATCCCTTCTTCTTCATGCTCCTTTCAGGATCTTGGGTACGCACGCACACGCGCCCGGCGTGAGTTGTAAGCCACCAGGTCTGGGTCACGAACCGCAGTCGACTACGTGGGAGTCCAGCGACATAGTCATTACGCTAACTGCTGGTCCCGATGACTGGCATGTTTAAATGTGGGTTCTGCCAGAGTTGCCTTTAAGACATTAAGGCACTTAAGAAATATCATAGGTAATCATACACTTGCTTGGAGTGTGTAGAGTAAAATCAAAGGCAGATTTTCTTACTGCATTTAGATTTAGACTCTAGTCCAGTGACCGGGATACTAGTGACTGCTTTGTGGATCTGTTCATTAGAGATACCCATAGTGTTTGCAGAACAGTTCTTTTTTACTATTTCTGATCATTGTCAAAAAAGAAAATGATCATTTTATATATATTTCTGGAGGGTTAATTTTATAAGCTTGCTTATGTTTTTAAAATCTTCTAATGTTCAAACCAAAAGCTCATTCAGTTCAACTTTCATTTTCTGAATAGCCAAGTGAGACATTGCAGCAATTCTAAATTGGCCCCACATTGTACATGTTAGAATTTGCTGCATCTGTGTTGAATTGTGCACTAGTGTTTCAAGGTGAGGTTAATTTTTCATTCATGTGAAATAACCAGGTTGCTCTCTTTCAGATTCCACTCTGGAGAGACAACCTAAATCCTCTTACTTCTATGTAGGGAATATGTTTCTGCTACTAAAAGCATAAAATCGAGTTGGATTATTGCCTAGAATTATGCAGAATCTTCCTTATTTTTATTGTCACAGTATTGGTTTCTAATCTTCCTCAGCTTTTGTACTGTCTCTTATTTGAGGCTTATTGCTTACTTCATGTGTTAGTTGAACTTTGTTTTTTCCTCCCTATCTGTATGTACTTATTCTGAGCCTTTCCCCAGCTCCAGCTACTTATTCCTTTATTTACTTTCTTGAGACTTTATTCCATAGTTATAATCTTTTTAAAAGACAGCTAGGTTGAGAAGGCCTCTCTCAGTTTCTCTCTTAATATTTTCTTCTCTGCAGTGAATATGTTAAATATCCTCAATTCTCAGATATTTTCAACATTTTAATGTTCCTAAAATTAGAATGCATGTTGTATTTTGTTATGTATATTGTTTAATTGGGAGAGAGCATTTGTACTTGCCAGAGAGAGATGGAGAGACAGAGAATGGAGGGGGATTACCCCTACTATGGGGTATGGTTATACTGCAGTCCCTTCTCCTTAATTTTACCATCCTGTCAGGATTCAAGGCATTCACACACATGTGCCCAGCCTGTTTTTCAAGGCTCCAGCTCTGGGCTTTGAATTGTAGTAAACCATGTGGGGTCCTGCTACCTTAACTATTAGTGCAGCTAGTGCTTATGTTATATTTTATGTTAGATTGTTCCATTCTTAAAAAAAGCAGTCTTAAATTAATACTATAGTCAGTGGTTTCTTTTAATCAAGTGACTTGTGATCAAATACTGACTTCTATTATATATATTACATATTCTTTATAAACCTAAATAAATTAAAGGAAAAGTAGTACAGAAATAGCCTTTTTGGGGATCAGCAGTTGGTGTAATAGCCATGTCGCTGGACTCCCATGTAGTCGACGGGTGTTCAAGTCCCGGACCCAGTGGATTAAACTCACGCCGGGCGCGTGTGTATGCGTGCCCAAGATCTCAAGAGGAGAATGGAGGAGAAGGGATTGCAGCATGGCCATGCCCCCTGGGGGCTGATTTCTCACTTTCTGTCTCTCTGTCTCTCTCTGTCTTTCTGGCGAGCACATGCGCCGTATAGCAAAAATCTCTCCAAAAAAAAGAAAAGAAAAGAAATAGCATTTTTGTTATTTTATAACTTGAAGCTTTTCTTTAGAAACAGCTAACCTATGGGCATATATATTTACTTATGTTTTCTTCATTTTAGACAATATGTGCACTCATTTGTGGATGTCCAATTGTGAAACCAGAATATTTTACCGAATTTGTCAAAGCAGTTCAGTCCAAGAAAGAGCCTCCAAAAATGGAAAGGTATATTACATATTTCCAGTATCACATCATAGGATATTACATGCAATATATATGATAGCTCTGTTTGTTTTTTTTTTTAAGAATTATTTATTGGGACCAGCAGTTAGCATAATGGCTATGTCGCTGGACTCCCATGTAGTTGACCGTGGTTCAAGTTCTGGACCTGGCGGCTTAAACTCACGCCGGGCGTATGTGCGTGTGTGCCCAAGATCCCGAGAGGAGAATGGAGGAGAAGGGATTACGGCGTGGCCATCCCCCCGGGGGGTGATTTCTCGCTTACTGTCTCTCTGTCTCTCTCTGTCTTTCTGGCAAGCGCATGCGCCCTATAGCAAAACCCTCTCAAAAAAAATTATTTATTTCATTTTATTTATTCATTCATTTATTTTAATTTGACAAGAGTCAGAGACAGAGACAGAGAAAGTGTGAAAGCAATCCAGGACTCGTATCATGGTTGGCCATGTGGGAGTGTCCAGCACCTTAACCACCACATCACCTGCTGGTCCTGATAGCCTGATTTTTATTTAGGTTAATTAACTCTTTAATAACTTTGAGACGTAATAGTTGCTATGTTATATATATTTTTGCTGATGGAAGTTTTTTGGGTGGTATGTAAAGGAAGGATTCCCTGAATTCTTAGATGGTGGTTTATGTCTGTGAAATGTTAAATATGGAAAAAAAAATAATGAAAGACAGTACGTGGCACTTGAGGTATGATCAGAAGAGCACATGTGTATGTGCCAGGCATCCTACAAGAGGTTCCTGTGGAGTTGTGGAATGCACCAGCCCTCTTCAAGAATCACAATATTAGTAGCACTATGGGCTTGAGTATGGAGCTTATTTTTTTCTTAGCTTCAGTTAATTTATTTCAAAACGAGACTAATACCTGTCAGCTGAGTTATTTTAAGTTTTAGTATATATTACGTCTCAGTACATCTCTGATATCATAATAAATGCTTGTTAAATGTTTTTCATTGCTAATTGCAACAATAGCAACAATAGCTGGAAAGATATATAATACTTTGTTATTTTGTTTTGTTTTGTGCTGTGCCAAATATGTGAACCATCAGACTAGAAGACAGTCTGTATTCATGTTAGTAATGCTTTGAAGTAATAGAAATCATGATCAGGAAGAGAAAGGTTTGTTTTGTTTTGTATTTTACGATTTTATGGTTAAAGTGCCAGGAGTTGTGAAATGGTGGAGTTTTTGGTCAATTTAGTAGCACAAGACCTTGCTTGCTTAAAATATGTCAGTAGATTATAATCCATATGCATGATGGGTTTGACTGTTATTTCATGGCATAATAGATTGATTGACAAGCTCATTTGTCTCTGCGGAACAATTTTGAATATCTAAGAAGGTTTTAAAAATTAAAATGTTAAACTTACCTGGCAGGAGATAACATGATCACGAAGGTGATTTTCCCAGGGCAAGGCTCATCCATTGCCTCTGGATGTGTCCTGTGTCCCTGTGATTCCACCAAATGCAGGAAACTTGGCTGTACAATCTGTGCTCTGGGGGACTATGTTACCACTTTCCTCTGTAGTAAAAAAAAGAAAAAAAAAAGTAATGTAAGTTAAGCATCATATTACTACTTTTAAGCAATTCCTATGTGCTATAAACGGTCTTGCTGAATGCAAAGATTTTTTAGCAACTGTTTATACATAGTAATAGTTGCTACTTTTTTTGAGAGAGATTTTTTTCTATAGGGTGTGTTCACTTGATGGAAAGACAGAGAGAGACAGAGAGATAGAAAGTTAAATCATCCCTCAGGAAATGGCCATGCCGTGATCCATTCTCCTCAGGATTTTAGGCATGCACGCACGCACACGTGCCCGGCCGTGAGTTTTCAAGTCTCTGGGTTTGGAACTCCAACCATGGTCGACTAGTGGGAGTTCAGTGAGGTCATCATTATCCCATAGTCGTTTGCTTTTAATAGTAACAAAATTCGACTCTTTTTTGTTTATAATTTTCATCTGGGAGGTTACTTGTATTTTTGTAGTCTGGGTAACAAACAGTATTTTTGAGGACCAGCAGATGGCATAATGGTTACGTAGCTGGACTCCGACCTGGCCAACCACATTTCAAGTCCCAGACTTGGCACCTTGAAACTCATGGCGTGAGTTAAATGAAGTTAAATAAAAATTAATTCTTAAAAAAAAAAACTCTCAAAAATTTTTAATAAAAAATAAATAAAAGGAGTGCTAATTTTGGTAGTTTGTGTTCTAATATTGGAAGTCCATTAAAATATTCTATGTCTAAATGTAAGGAAATTATCCCTTAGAAAAGAGGGGGAGTTGCCTTTTGTCTCACAGTTACATTATCTCAAAAAGGGATTATTTGGGGAAACATTGTTGGAAAGGGAGTCCTTCCTGGGTCACTTACATTCATATCCAACTTGCTGTGTGTGCTGAGAATGCAGGGTCCAGACTGGACTCTACATAGGCCATTTCTCAGGATCGTTGGCAGTCCGGAAGCTTAAGGAAGGCTTAAGCAGGCTTGCCTTTAGCTGAATGCCAACCAAGTTCAGTGTTCCCCTTTCCTGTAATACAAAGCAGTTTAAGTCTTCCATGTCTTCCCTAAGACCTGCACTGTGACTTGCTTTGTCTAAGATCAGGAATCTGTGTCTTCTGTCTGCATTCATGAAACAGAAACAGGTTATTAGTTTGTAGTTAATTTTCAGACCCAGCAGACAGTCTCAGTAAATGAAAGTTCATGGAGGTCATCTTACATAATCAGTTAAAATCCAAGGCAAAGGAATTTAACATATACTAGTAATTTTTTCCTGGAGATAGAACCACACATTAGCAAGTGTAGGTGTCAGTGTAATCTAGTCTTATACACATGCCAAAAAAAAAAGTATTAAGTTGCTCTAGAAATCATGAACATATGATTACAGAACTAATGAAATAAGCATCTGTCCAGACTTTGGACAAAGAATATTTGTGGGTTGGAATATGGATTCCAGGCCCAGAATGGCTTCAGAAAAATTCTCTATTTCAAAAAAGTTGGGGGCAGAAATGAAGATAATGTACTATGGGTTAGATGAAATTTATTGGAGATCATGCAGAGAATTTAGAAAAAAGCCATAAAATGTGAATGGGGAAAAATTAGTATTTCTAAATTAATATAATATTTTAGAATGTGATTAGTAACATGTAGCAGTTACTACAAAGAAAACATAATTATTTTATTTGTAGTTCTTAAAGTCTCTATGTAAGCATAACAAAAAACATTTTGCTTTTTCACGACAGAAATCAGAGGGGCGAGATTACAATGTAGCAGGCAGTAAAACACGATGGCCCATGAGGCCGACCCACATTGGGTAGTTAGTTTTAGGTTGCATCTAGAAACCTCCCCAGTACACTGGGCACTTGCATGCCCATGATCTGGAGCCCGATGAGGGAGAGGGTAGATCACAGCATCAAGACCCTGTTGGGGGTGCTGTCAATATTGGAAGTCCATTAAAATATTCTATGTCTAAATGTAAGGAAATTATCCCTTAGAAAAGAGGGGGAGTTGCCTTTTGTCTCACAGTTACATTATCTCAAAAAGGGATTATTTGGGGAAACATTGTTGGAAAGGGAGTCCTTCCTGGGTCACTTACATTCATATCCAACTTGCTGTGTGTGCTGAGAATGCAGGGTCCAGACTGGACTCTACATAGGCCATTTCTCAGGATCGTTGGCAGTCCGGAAGCTTAAGGAAGGCTTAAGCAGGCTTGCCTTTAGCTGAATGCCAACCAAGTTCAGTGTTCCCCTTTCCTGTAATACAAAGCAGTTTAAGTCTTCCATGTCTTCCCTAAGACCTGCACTGTGACTTGCTTTGTCTAAGATCAGGAATCTGTGTCTTCTGTCTGCATTCATGAAACAGAAACAGGTTATTAGTTTGTAGTTAATTTTCAGACCCAGCAGACAGTCTCAGTAAATGAAAGTTCATGGAGGTCATCTTACATAATCAGTTAAAATCCAAGGCAAAGGAATTTAACATATACTAGTAATTTTTTCCTGGAGATAGAACCACACATTAGCAAGTGTAGGTGTCAGTGTAATCTAGTCTTATACACATGCCAAAAAAAAAAGTATTAAGTTGCTCTAGAAATCATGAACATATGATTACAGAACTAATGAAATAAGCATCTGTCCAGACTTTGGACAAAGAATATTTGTGGGTTGGAATATGGATTCCAGGCCCAGAATGGCTTCAGAAAAATTCTCTATTTCAAAAAAGTTGGGGGCAGAAATGAAGATAATGTACTATGGGTTAGATGAAATTTATTGGAGATCATGCAGAGAATTTAGAAAAAAGCCATAAAATGTGAATGGGGAAAAATTAGTATTTCTAAATTAATATAATATTTTAGAATGTGATTAGTAACATGTAGCAGTTACTACAAAGAAAACATAATTATTTTATTTGTAGTTCTTAAAGTCTCTATGTAAGCATAACAAAAAACATTTTGCTTTTTCACGACAGAAATCAGAGGGGCGAGATTACAATGTAGCAGGCAGTAAAACACGATGGCCCATGAGGCCGACCCACATTGGGTAGTTAGTTTTAGGTTGCATCTAGAAACCTCCCCAGTACACTGGGCACTTGCATGCCCATGATCTGGAGCCCGATGAGGGAGAGGGTAGATCACAGCATCAAGACCCTGTTGGGGGTGCTGTCTCTTTCTCACTCATAGAAGAAATAAATAAATTAAAGTTAAAAAAGAAAAAGAAATTGGAGATCACTTTATATTTGTTGTAGGCTTGTATTTAGGTAGTATCTCTAACCTAAGTCTCTGCAATTTTTTTACTCTCTTGTTTTCCAGTTTTCTTACTAGCTATCAAATCACTAGAGTGTCAGAAATACCTTAGAACTTCTAGAATTCAGTGCTTCAAAATACTAGTATGTAGTGGTCTCTGCATGTTTATCACTAGTCTATCTTATTTTCATCATTACAGGGTTGAGAGGAAGGGGCTTGTCCGGGTTTATGAAGTTCCAGAAGATAGTCTGCTTTTCATCACTTGTTCATTAGCAATTATGTCTCATATATCTTATATGTATGTATGTGTGTGTATATCTAGTATACTTACATAATTATCAATTATAAATCATTATTATATAAGCATACTAGATAAACACACACACACGTACATAAATAAAGCCAAAAATCTAGTCTAAACATTGGAGGCACAGCTGAAATTTGATTAGACTTTTGATAATGCAATGATAATATTTTTGTTCAAGATTGGTCTCATTAGGGTGATGTGGTGGTTAAGGTGCTGGATTCCCACATGGTTGATCGTGGTTTCAGTCCTGGAAATGGTGTCTTGCTTTGACATTTTCCCTCTCTCTCTCTTTCCCTTTCTCTCTCTGGTGAGCACATATGACCTATGGCAACTTCTTTTTAGAATTATTTTTTATTTAACTTTATTTATTTATTTGTTTTAATTTGACCAGAGAGAGACAGAGTGAGACACACAGAAAGAGAAAGAAAGCAAGCCTCCAGGTCCAAGACTTGAACCACTGTTGCCATGTGGGAATCCAGAACCCTTAACCACCATGACTATGATAAATTTTAAAATAAAAATAATAATAATAATAACTAAAATTGAATAAATAATTCCTTTAAAAAAAGATTGGTTTTACTGAGTGTCAAAGCTGAAATTTACAATGTTATCAAATGGAAAGCAAACCTAGAATTTTAATACCCAAATCTGTTTTGAGAGAATTGAGAAATGTTTATACATTTTACTTTTAAGTTACTAGGTAAAATTTTTATTTATATCAGTTTATTTTATTACCAAATATCTGTTGAATGTCTATTATGAACTAGGCAGGGTAGACCTGATGATATAATGATGATCCAAAAGGGTTATAATTTTGCCCTTACGGCCCTTAGCAAAAGAACCAAACGTTAAAGTTCCACACAAATAAGGTTAGCACTCTGGTAGTGCCTTTAGGGAGAGCTGAGGGTCTATTATACTCTGCATAGAATACTAACTGAGAGTGTAACACTCAGATTTCATTGAGCTAAACTATAATTAGCCATTCTCTGGGTATAGTAAACTATATAGATAATTCAGAAGTGATTACCTTTCAGTGTCCTTGGAAAGCAATAAGCATCTCACATCTGCTCAGTCATACGTATGTGTTAATGCTTTACCTAACTGCTTTTGTCGGTGACTGGCTCCGTGATATGTTATATGACTATATAGCCTGATTTGTAAATTAGTTGTAAGTGAAGTGTGAGCTGACTTTTATACTCAAAGAAATCTAAGGAGAATTTTTATTAAAAAGGATTTGAAGAGAGAGTAAAAATTTTTTAATGTATAATTTACTTTTTTTTTTTCCCCAGAGGATAGTTCTTCAGTCTTTAAAGTCCTTACATGGGCTTTGGTGGAGAGCGAGGGGCAATACCCGCAGGTCAAAATTGGGGTTGGGGCGTTCATCCTTCTGAGGCGTTCATCCTTCATTAGCTGTGTTCCTGACTACCTTGCCTTGAATGACACAACTCACACAGTAATGTAGCTTCACATACAGTTTGGCGAGCACATAGACAGCAAAGACGCTTGCTTTGGAGATGTCCCTGATGTCTATGACCTCTACTGTGTTTCCGATGACGAACTTCTTAATAGCCTTGTCCTTGGGCACGCATCCGGGGCAGTTAGTGCTGAAAATAGGCTACACATGGCTGTGGCCCTTTATGGCACAGCCATTGTTCCTTCTTTTCTTCATCACCTTGGAAATAAGGCCCCCAGAGATAGTAAAAATTTATCTTATCTGTGTATTAGAATGTCTACTAATTTTCCAGTTATTTTATTGTAGATTTAATCTTAAATTAAAATAGATATTTAAAGTCAATTATCTAGAAAAACTAGAGCAAACACAGTAGCATACATTCTCCTGCCAACTAAGTCTTCCCTTGCCTGCAGATAACCCATTCATTTGAGATTTCAGGTTCCAGAAATTGTTACTTCAGAATAGACTCAAAGAGCATTTAATCCATTATAGTGGATTAAAATATGTGCATTTGCGTTTTCAATCAGTTATCATTTAAAAAAAATTAATATAATCAATCAGTCACGATTCAGCTTTACTTCAGGAAATTTATATTGCCAGGGAGAAATTTGGCAGGTAGGGGGATGTAAGGAGATTAGTGCTGAAAGGCTGAGTGGTGACTCTTAAAGACTGTATTAGTTTTTTGCCACATTGGATGTTACTCTTTACACATAGTTAACTCTTGATTGATTGTTCAGTAACTGATTGCCCAGGTGGTGAACACTCTCTTTGCTACATTGTTCCCTTATCACCCTGATGGGTTAGTAATTTTTTAGGGAGAGAACCTGAAAGGCGGATCAGTTAAGAACAACAATAGGAAAAGATATACAAAGTTGAAACTGTGGACTGAAGAGGAATTTGAGAATAATCTGTTACTCTCTATTTTCATTTCCCTTGTTTCCATGGACAGTTAAGATGTTTGTATTTATTATTAAAGAGCTAAGAAGTTGTTTTCTTTTATTTCATGTGGGAAACTTTATTTAAACTGACAATATAAGGTAAACTTTAACATTTCCTGAACTTCTCCAGAGAGATCTATAACAAAACATCTATAATTGGAATATGAACATTATTAACACATATTAGATCCTAAGTAAACATAATATGCTAATAGAATTCCATCTTTATGAATGGTGTCTCTCAACTTTTATAATTCACATAACTTGTTTGATTCTTATATGTTTAATAGGTACCTTGTTATGATTGCCTACCTTGGATTATTTGAAAAAATAGAAGCCAGTTCTGCTATTCTGTGTGGTACCTGTTTCCCTATTTTCAGAAAAAGCGTGCAGATGTTTTTGTCAATTTGTCCCAGTTAAAACTTGTAACTTCGTTTAAAAAGAAAAAAGAAACTAATGGTATTCTGGAAATTGAGAATTTTCAGTGTCAGATAATCATTCTATTCAAAAACTTTAATAGTAAATGTGAAGGCTAGTATATAATTAGAATATGCTTTATTACTTTTACAGTTTTTACCCACCTATTGATGAACCAGCTATTGGAAATAAAAGTATTGATCTGTCAGGACGACAAGAAAGAAAGCAAATTTTCAAAGGGAAAACATTTGTATTTTTAAATACCAAACAGGTAATGTTATAAGCTACATTTTCATAAGGATAACATTACAGATATTACAAACTATTTATACATTTTTTGTCTCAGTAGCTATTAATGCACTTTATTTGGGAATTTTGTGTAGAAGTACAAAGTCAAATAAAATACTACTCAAGCACCTTACTCTGCCTAGTGATCATGTATATTAGTACAGTATTTCTAACTATCTGTTAACTGATCTGTTAATTTAAGTTTATATAGGTTCATAAGTGGGGAGGACAGAAAACTCCTAAGTCCTAACTTGTTCAGTTAGTATCTGTTGAGTGTCTTCTGTGAAGTGGGATTTTCAAGAGTTTATATTGCAGTGGAAAAATCCTATCGTGAGCCTATGTTTAGAGTATTGTGTATAAGTGTCTTGAGGAATTACAGACAATGTAATGATTCCAGGACTGTGAAATACCAAAACTGGGTTTTCTCAGCATAGAAGCTCAAATTACCCATTCAAGGAATCAAGTAAAACCAATTCTATTTTAATTCTACTTCTATTGTAATGTCCAGATCAAATTCTTACATATTGTTCTCAGGAAATTAATTGTGGCTATTCCATTACTTTTTCAAATGTTTCTTTTCATTTTTAGCATAAGAAATTAAGTTCAGCAATTGTTTTTGGAGGTGGAGAAACTAGGTTGATAACAGAAGAAAATGAAGAAGAAGATAGTTTCCTTTCAGCTCCTGGAACTTGTGTTGTTGATGTAGGAATAACACATTCACAGATCTTGATTCCTGACTCTCAGAAACAATGGATTCATTCCATCATGGATATGCTCCAAAGGTGCAGAATTATTAGTTTTTTAAAAATGCAAATAGGAGATATTATACACAGGTTTTTTTGTTGCACCTCACTCATTTGTACCTACCTAAAAGGTACAAGAATTATACAAATTATGTCATATACTTGAAAATTGATTGTGACTTGGTATGCTAGAAATAGAATATGTTTATTCATGTTAGTGTTATCAGAGTAGTTTTTGCCCTTTCTTAAAAAAATAGTATCTTATTTGAATTTGTATGCTTTACCTTCCCCCCCCCTCCCCAGTTTTGCCAGAGAGTGTGTGTGCTCTCCAGAGAGAGACAGAGAGGGGAAATGAGAAAGCACCTTGTATGGGGATGATCATGCTGCAGTCTCTTCCATTCTCGTCCATTTTTTCTTTCAGGATTTTGGGCACACGTGAACATGCATCCAGTGTGTTCTTTCAAGCTGTGGGATCTGGACTCTATTCACCTAGTACAAAGTAGTTGGGGCCTAAAGTACTTATGTGCCTATATGTCCATAGCCATCTCTCTATGAAACATTTCTTGGAAGATTTATTTTTCCTGTCCTAGGAGTCCTTCTGACCATGGGAAATGCTTTTTCTTTTCCTCCATGGGTTTCCTAAATTAAAAAGTAGAGTTTTAGTCATCTGCCCCGTAAATATTTTACTTAGGAGGATGTTTTAACTGCCATGAAAAATGAATATATCTGTATAACAAAAATACATCTACAATAAAAATGTGATTTATTATATTTTACACACCAGGAGTATAATGGTAAACAAGATAGCCATGCTATCTTGAGGATAAGATAGATAAAGGTAGATAAACACATCACTACACATGTGCATAAAGGAACAGAGTAACAGGGCAGGGGAATATTATACTAAGTAAAAACAACCTCTCGGGCAACAGTTTACCTATGACCAGTTTGTCAAAGAGCCACAGAATTTGTCAGACAGGAAAACAGTAATAATACATATCATTAATAATAGTAGTAACCCTGTATAGCAGGTCCTGTTTTAAGACTTACATATGTAGGGACCAGCAGTTAGCGTAATGGTTATGTTGCTGAACTCCCATGTAGTCTACCATGGTTCGAGTCCCGGACCCAGTGGCTTAAACTCATGCCGGGCACGTGTGCGTGCGTGCCCAAGATCCCGAGAGGAGAATGGAGGAGAAGGGATTGTGTCATGGCCATCCCCCGGGGGGGGGGGGATTTCTCGCTTTCTGTCTGTCTGTGTCTTACTGGCGAGCGTATATGCCCTATAGCAAAAAAAAAAAGACATATGTAAAAACATCTCATCTCTCCTCTGTGTATTGTCTACTATTGTTTTACACGTATAGATGAGGAAACTGGCAAAAGAGAGTTTGACAAGAACATAGGTAGTGAGCAGGGTAGCCAAGATGTGAACGCAGGTAGTCTGATTCTGGAGTCAAGGCTCTTGCTGCCTTTCAACCTATACAGACACTTTGGCATGAGGAAGTAGCTGGAGGTCAGGGTTGCTCATACACTGGTTCCTTGATCATGGAGTTATCTGTAATTTTAGTTTTATACTTTGGGCCTTGTTACAATTATATTTGGAAGGAGGGCAATTTTATAGTTTAAAAGTGGCTGTCACTTAAAATAACACCTGGCCACTTAGTCCAAGCTGTTGTAGCCATTGAAGGTGCAATTATATGAAGCAAACTGGCCAGTTACGTTAGCCATTGACTGAACTTCAGACAACAGGGTAGTATTACAGTTGCTTAGTGCCATGACCATATTGCTTAGATGTAAGAACTAGATATAAGTTGTAGGTTAAGATTAAATATTGGGTGCCAAATGGTGCTATGGTTGTTCAGGCAGCTGGATTCCACATACCAACTGCGTAATTCAAGTCCCAATCCAGAAGCTTGGAAAACACACTAGGCACATGTGCGTGCATGCCCAGAATCCCGAGAGGAGAATGGAGCAGAAGGGATTGTGCATGGTCACTGGGAGGTATTTTCCCACATTTCCTCTTTCTCTCTGTCTCTCTCCAGTGAGTGTATGTGCCTTGTTAAGAAAATAAATAAATAAAGCAAGATTAAACATCTTCTAAAAATAATTAGACATCTAGGAGCAGGCCAGCCCATGGCATAATGGTTAGAGCAGCTGGATCCCAGATGGCCAACTATACTGGTCCAGCCCCAGATGTGGTGGCTTGAACAACATGACAGGAATATGGGTACAGCCAAAAATCTAAGGGGGAGGATGGAAGAGAAGGGATTGTGGCATAGCCATCTCCCCTGGGGGTTGCTTTCTTACTTTTCCCCCCTCTCTCCATCTTCAACAAGCACATGTACCCTGTAGCATATAATAAGAAAAAGAAAAGGAAAAAAGAAGTAAGCTAGGGGAACAATTTAAGCCTGATTATTGGTTATGCTATGCTAGTTTTCAGTATCTTAGGTTAAATTAGGGAACTCTTCCCGTTAATTACTTTCTCTTTATCATCTCGTCCTCGTTTCCTTTGTCTCATCTGTTCTCCAGCCTTGCACAAAATTGGATTAATCATGGTCCTTGATTCTTGGACACACTCCATCATTGAACTAGATATACATTTATGTTGTTCACCAGTATTTAAATAAGTTTTTTGCTAGAGGGCATGTGCTCTTGCCAGTGAAAGAGAGAAAGCACCCACCCCATGGGGCATACTCATGCTACAGTCCATTTCCTCAGTTTCTCATCCCATCAGGGTTTGGCTATATATGCACTCACACTTGGTGTATTTTTTTAAGCCATCAGGGCCAAGAGTAAGACCACAGTTGGCCCTGTGGGATCCAGTTTCCATTGTATAGTGCTTAACTGCTGTGTACAGGACCAGGCCTAAGTAGTTATTTTTAATAATGCAGTGAATGTCTAGGAATCTACCCCCAGAGTATCAGCTAGATCCTTGAAAATAGCCTACAGCTATTTATGGAACCCAGTCTCCTACGTAGTATATCATCTTGAATCCCATGCTCAATATTTACTTCTTTAAATACAGAGTTCTATTGCTTTTTCATGTGTTCCTAATGTGTGTGTTTCTTTTAGTTGTATTTAACTTTATAATATAGTCATTATGCTACATGTAAATTTCAGGGATTTTTCTTCCTTAATATATTATAATGCTGACATGAATTCATACATTTTGTTACACGTTGCTGTAAGTTTTTTGTTTTATTTTATTTTTATTTTGGGCAAGCACTCTGTAGCAAACAATAAAAATACACATGCCCGATGTGATTTTTAAGCTGCCAGATCTAGGACTCAGACCATAGTCAGCCATGTGGGAATCAAGCACCTTAACCACTACACCATCTACTGTCCCCATGTTTGTTTTGAAGGTAGAATAAATTTCATTGTGTGAATATACAGTTCATTCATTCACTCCTCATTAGAAAATACCTTGTTTTGAGATTTTTGTTATAAGCACTGCGTGAATGGTCCACTATACAAGGTAGAATTCAATTACTTTTCCATTGGCACTCCTATCCACAGTATATAATTTATCCTGTGGTATATAATAGATCAAGTAGATGCACATCATCTTCAACACTATTCTCAGATGTTTTGGTATCTGTCAGTTGAATGGATATGTATAATCATATCTTATTGTGATTTTAATTTATATTTCCCCAATCACCAATGATACTTAATATTTCTTCAAACATTTATTAGACATTTGTTTTTCCTCTTTTATGAAATACTTGGTTCATGTCTGTTGCCCAGATTCTAATTGAAATCATTGTGCTCTTTTTAAAAAAATGTATTCAGTTCATTCTCGTTTGTATCTGTATTCGTGTGCACTGAATGATGTAAATATGCCTCACTTGCATGTCCATCACCATAGTCAGCAGAACAATTGCTTCACCACAAGGGTGTCTCCTGTTGTCCTTTTATTTACACACCTTTACCCTCCCTCCTTTCCTCTCTTCCTGTCATTAAACCCTGACCAGCACTAATTTGTTCCCTGATTATAAAAGTTTGTCTTTTAAAAAGATATTGTGGGGCCAGCAGGTGGCATGGTGGTTAAGATGCTGGATCCCACATAGCTAACTCCATGGTTCTTGTCCTGGACCTAGTAGATTGGAAATTATATTGCATGCATGTGTGTGCTTGCCCAAAATCCTGAGTGAAAAATAGAGGAGAAGGAGTTTGTGGTGTGGCTACCCCTACTGTTCCCCCAGCAGGTGATTTCTCACTTTCCCTCTTTCTCTGTATCTCTCTGGAGAGTGCACACATCCTATGGCAAAAATCTAAAAACACATCCTATGGCAAAAACCTTAAAAAAAAAATAAAAAAAAAAAAGTGACATAAATGGAATAATGTAACATATGACTATTTGAGATTGACTTTTGTTACTCAGCTTAATTCCTCAGAGATTCACCCAAATGTTTTATATACACGTATGTATCTATGTATATGTGTGTGTGTGTGTCTGTTGTCCTTTATGCGGATAAATAATATTCCATACTAGGAATATTGTGTGTGTGTGTGTGTGTGTCTGTTGTCTGTTATGTGGATAAATAATATTCCATACTAGGAATACACCACAGTTTGTTGAGTTAGTCACCAATTGAGTTTATTTGCAATTTTTACAGTTTTTTTTTTGTTATAAATGAAACTGCTCTGAATATTCATGTACAGGTTTCTGTAGAAGCATAATTTTTATTTTTCTGAGATAAATACCCAGGAGTAGAATTTCTGGGCCATACAGTAATTATGTACTTGATATACTTGTCTTTTATTTGTAAGAGTTTTTTTGTATTCTTGATAATATATATAATTTTTTTAATTTTCAGATCAATTTAGCATTTTACATAAAGTCTGCATCATAATGTATAAAATATTTTTTTTTTCTTTTTGTTTTTTGGAGAGGTTTTTGCTACAGGGCTTGTGCACTTGCCAGAAAGACAGAGACAGAAAATGAGAAATCA